CACTTCAGCTGAGAAAGCTGAGGGTGCTTAGTGCCCATTTCCTAGCTGTGAGATTGAATGTCCAACCCTGGAAAGTGGGCTGGGAACCCCAGATGGTCTCCCACACAAGCACAAAGTCTAGTCAAACACCCTACTGCCAAGCTCCTACACTACCCAAGCCCCTTGCCCCCCAGAAGGCACTACCCACCTCTCATGGTGCCTCCAGGACCACCCAAATCCTTTGCATTTATTCTCTCTGACCCCATGTACTGCTGCTTCTGCTCATGCCCCCCCTGGCTCACACTTTATCCACACCAGGTGTATCCCTGTTTGTTTACGCCCTCAATCACCCTTCTTTGGCTTGGCCACGCTGAAAACAATGCTAGGAAGCCACCAGGTTTTCTATTTATGTGCTCAAACTCTCCCTAACTGGCCTGAGACAGTGACGGAAGGATACGGAGCATGGGACGCAGTCTGTAATCGGGAATGTTGTTGAGGTTGATGAAAGCTGAGCTGAGGAGCTGGGTGGCAAGACCCTCAACGGTGTAGAAATCCTGTTGCATGGAGGGGCCTGCATTTCCCAGGATGTGGAAACTTCAACAAAAACCAAGTTAGTTGTAACTCTGCTAGATAACAGCTACCATGCCTCTGGCCTGCAAAGGCTGCAGCGACTATCATCTTGAGATTAGATAGTTGCGGTGTTCTTAAACAAATACTATAAAGGAATTTTAGCATGGTATCTCTTTTTTTTCTGGGATACCTGCAGAGGGATAATGAATTAAGCATTTAAGCACTAAAATGCACTTCCAAGTGCTGATGTATCCTAGCACACAATTAAAAGTGGCAGAGACACAAACTAGGTCAGGATATCAGATAAGTGCTCCAATCCGACTACTTAACTGCAAAAGAGGTAAAAGCAGATCCACATTTTGAGGTATTTTTTCCAGTGACTGTGTTCCACATGTATGTAGTAGGTTACAACCACTGAGCGTAGTGCACCACTGCAACTCATATTTGGATATTATAGGATACAGTTCACATGAAAAGTAACTCTACAAGAAGTCAGCACCCAGCAATAGCCAATTGCTCCAGTCGTGCAATGTTGGATTGTGTGGGGGATATCTGGTGCTCTTACCAGTTGTCGTAGAGGGTACAAAAGAAGCCCTGCATCCTTTCTAAGACCGTTTTGTAAACAGGAGAGTCATAAAGCTCCAGCAGAGGCTGAGGGAGACCTGTGGGAAAGAATAAGATTCAGCTGTATTAATGAGAGAGAGCACACTGCACCTTCAGAATGTGCTGGGCAGGCCCCAGCCAGCTTGACGGCAGTGAGGGAACTGCTTGCCAACAGGCAGCCAAATGGGAAGAGGTGCAGCAACCCTGGGGCAGAACCTCCCATCAGAGGTCAGTCAAGTTCAGGTCGGTTGTACCCACAGCAGAGGTGTTCCCGCTGAGGTTGTTACAGGCCCCTCATCTCTCCAAAGCAAAACTTACTGGAGCTATCAGAACCCAGTCAGAAGCAAAGCTGACAGTTCTGCAGCTCCTCCATTAGCCCAGCCCTTCAGGTTTGTATTCATCTCTGTTGGGACACAAGCTACTGCTGAATTATGATATTAAAAAGTTTAGAGCAGAGATCAAGGCCCTAATGCTTTATGTGCAGTGGTTCCCAGACAGGGAGTTTACAGGTCTCAGAAAACAGGTAAAGGAAGCATCTCCTCATTTTACAGATAGGAAATGGAGAGAAGACAGACAAAGCAATTCCCTGAAATATTTCATTGTCTGTCAGAACCTGAAATTAACCCCCAATTTCCAGAGTCATGGTCCATGCTTAATCCAGAAGGCCACCCGCTTCTGCTTGGCTGGAAAGGCTTCTGTTCACAAGCTCAAACCTGTTTTAAGACAGTTCCAAAAGCCTCTTTCTAATACACTGCCCTGAAACAAATGACAAGGCCGTACTGCAGCACTTGGCTCTTGCCCTCCAGGACAGGTCTCTGCATCAGCACTCAGGGATCCTGCTGAGCACTAATTCTGCTCAAAGGCAGCCAGTTACAACACCCCCAGTCTCTCCAGCCTGAAATGACTTGTTGCAGAGACCACCATCCAGCTGGGATAAGCAGTTTAGTAGGGTACTTTTCATTTCATGCAGAAGAAACCAATTTGTCTGAGACCAATAACTTATTTAACTTCTTCATTTCAGCAGGTTCAAATTCACAGAGCTGTGAATACTATGAGGAAGCTGGCTCTCCAACCTGTCTTCACTTCCACTGCTATTGATGGACCACTACCTCAAATACCTCTGAGAGAAAGAACCTGCCCACACATTCCTCCTGAAGAGAAGCCTCTTACCTAGGATGGCATTCTTCTCCACCTCCAGCATGTCTAAGGCCTTTGCAAACGTTTCCCCCAGCCTAGCCACCATCTCTGGCATGTAGAGATTGTTGTGAGTCCTGAAACAGAAGAGCACTTGGTTTATACTCATGTGGGTCAACCCCTTTTGCCCTTGACAGTGGGATCCTCTCCTTCAGCTTGTGAACAGCTCCTCTGAGGCAGATGATGAGGAAGGTGAGACCAAGCACGTGTGCATGGGATCCCCCTTCCCCACCTGCAAAAATATTGGGGAAGCTGGCCCGACAGAGACATGGAGTGACTCCACCTCATGTCCTGAATCTCCTGGCTGCCCCTTCAACTTATTTCAGTTCACCCCACCCCTTGCAAGCACTGGCAGTAAAAACTCCCAGCAATTCTCCAGTCAATGCTGGCAACAGCTTATTAGCTTGGCCAAAGGGATCAGAGAATGTATTTTTAAAACTGACAAGACACAGATTCTGCAATCTCAGAAGATCTTCTGCACCTAAGGCCCCTGCAGAGGGAGGGGCTGTTTCAGCTCCAAAATACACACACTGCCCCCCAGGGATGGGTCACAGTCCCCAGAATGGCAGGTGGCATTGGAGGGACGCTAGGGAGAACATCAGTCCGATCAGATGTTACTCGTGGCAGACACATGTGCCCCCTGGACAACACATCCAACCGGGAACAATTCCGCACCATCAGGAGGTGGCCACGGTCAGCTCTCCACAAGGGACACCAATTCAGCCACGGGTGGCTGGTTCTTGCCATCCAGGCCAAAATGGGTCCCCTCTTAGCCAGGGTACGGACACTCAGAGCTGGACTCGGCAGGGGGTGTCTCTCTCACCTACCTCTCTCCTTTGAGACCTCAGACCTCCACTCTGGGTGTCGCCAGCTGCACACAGCACAAATCCTGCAGCCTCCTCCAAAACTGCAATGCCATTGTACCTGCTGCTAGAGGTGATCAAGGGCAACTCAGTATCTCCCCCTAGAGCAGCGTTTCCCAAAGCAGGGGGGTACATGGGAATGGCTGGGGGAAGGGAGCACGGACAGATCTCAGTATTGTCTCCAGAGTCTCAGCTTTCACTCGTGTCTTAATGGTTTTTTTATTTTATTTTTTTTTTTTAAGCTGTCTGTTCACAATCCTGGCAACCCCGATGCAGTGACATCTGCCCGAGTTTGCAGAGAGCCTGAGGTAGCTCTGAAACAGCAACTATCCCATTTCTCTCTGCAAGTGTTCAATACTTCCCCACTCACGGCACGTGAGGAAGGCAAGTATGTAAGTTTCTTATGAAAGAGCTACACAAATGACTTCTTAATGACTCATACTCTCATTCTGGGCTGGATCTAACACCATGCAACAGGCCTCAAAGGGGGCACAAGCTGGCTTGACTTTCCCAAGAGGGGCTAGGGAGCAGCCCAGCCTCTGCAAAAGTTTGGATAATGCTGTTCCACTGACTCAAAAAAAATGTGCATTTCTGCTTAAGGCTATCCTGAAACCTAGCTACTAAAATCATCTCCACTTGTATGTCTCCTGCCTGCTCCATGCCAACGTTGGCTTTGCTTCATGCAGGGCAGAAGGGCAATGGGGCAAACCCAAGGACTATGGAATTGCAGGGGTGAACCTTGAACTCCCACTGTTCTAACCCCAGCAGGATAGGTCAGATAGTCATATCCTGAAGCTGCGGTCATGGTCCTTCGTTGTTTCAGAGTCCTTGAGTCCCGTGTCCTTTCCCAGGCTTGACAGCTGGGAGAGCAGATGTTCACTCACAGGCCAATCTCCCGTAATTAATCCTTTAGCAAGGTCCCAGTGGTGACAGAGAGAAAATGGTTAATCAGCTGCTCCCCATGGGAGTTAAAAAATCATCCAACAGCCCTCATACATGATGAAGATGTAGCCCCCGGGCACATTCCAGCTGAGAGTCTCAGCAGTGAGCAGCACTCCTGGGCATCCCACACACAGGAGAACACAGATAAACAAAATTCAAGGGACGTTTATACTTTAGAAAAGACAAGCAAAGGATATGGCAGGACTCTGAGAAGTGTATTTTCAGCGATGGTCACAGCTCTGCTGGGAAGAGCATCTGATGCCTAGAGAGATGGGCTTGAAGGCCAGAAGATGAGTCCTTTAGGACAGCCCACGCTTGAAGAATCTTGATCTAAAGCTGGAGCCATCTACAGTGAAAAAGCCTACAGCATCCATGTCTATTCAACAATTCTTTCATCAGCACTACTGCCTTGGTAATGTCAGCATCTCATCAAGAGGAGTTCCAAAAAAGCCTTTGTCCATGCAAAGAATTTGCTGAGCCTGACCAGTCCATTTGCAACAAAACATGAGCAAATCCCAGCACAATAAAGGTGTTGCGCCAACCAGTTCGCACAGCTACTGACTCCAGAAATGCGCCTTTACCTAAAGTTGGTTGGAGATCGTGATTTGGGTTTAAATTCAGGAGACAACAATTTAAGTCAGAAGCTAGAAAGCACCTAGATGAATTGAGGTACTACAGAGGACAGGAGAACCATCATTCAGAAAGCTGCAAGCAGTGATTAACAAAGCAACCTCAAAACCATTCAGTAAATACAGCTACCAAGACCAATATGGGTAGGCACAAAAAGATAGGCTGGCAGGGGAAACACCACACTGTCTACACCATTCAAAACTACCTTATTTTTCCTTGTTACCTGGACTCCCTCTCATTCCTCTCATCTTTTTGGTCTCATCCATGACCTACCTTCAAGCTGCTTACCCTGGAAAGACCCAATGGCTTAGCAACTGGCACTTCTGTCTGCAAACACAGCAGAATGCCATGCAACATCCAGAGAGCAGCAGACCCAGCTGCTCCACCTGCAAAACACCCTTTTTTTTTGCATACTGGTGCCTGACTTGGCGTTCAGTTCAGCTGCCCAGTAGGATCGGTGCTGCTGCTACTTGGAGATCTGCTCACACAGTAACCAACACGATTTGTGAGGACTTCCACATCTGCTGCCAGCACAACCACAACACCGGACCTGGCTTATCCCCACAGAAAGCTGCCTAATGGCACAGAGCTGAGAGAAGCATCCATCCCCAAGTAGTAATGCAACTATGTTCCCAAAGGCATCCTCACCACAGGCAGCTTTCCTGCCAGCCAGCCTTCCTCAGATCCCTGTACTTCCTGCCTGCTGACAGGCTGCAACAGATTCCATATTCTCTTGTGTAATCCATATTCAAGAGAGCCTGAGGAAGCAGTACATGGAAAAGGCACTCAAAGCCAGCAAAAGCCACACCAGAAGTTCCACAGCACAAGCTCCATCTTTTCCAGAAAGACATAAGCATCATCAACATTTGCACTGAACAACTATAAGCTTGCAGTTGTCATACAGAGGCCCTTACATCCAGCAGCAGTCAGGAAAGGTATGAAGTGGAGGATCTACTGGGTTTAACGCATCATTCATTGCTTCTTGTTGGAGCATCCAGCCTTAAGAAAAGCCTGGACACCTCTGAGTGAAGTACAGGCCACTCCACGTATGTTACTACCACGAGCTTAGAAGATTCTGGTCTGCAGGGAAGATGCTCAAACAGCACAGATGCATTCTCTCAAAAAACAGCCAGGGAGCCTCTTCCTTTATGCAGATGGGGAAGGAACATGGCTCATGTGTTTTCCTGGACGTGGCAAACAAGTAGGCACAGAATTTTTGCTTCTTTACAGGTAGTGATAAGAGTTTGACAATAGTTTCCTAAGCTTGTTGTAACAGAGATCCCAAGTGTTTTCAACAATGCGTAAGTCCTGGCAAGAACAGTGATCGCACAAGCAAAGTCTGTCCATTGCAGCCTGCTCAGACCTTGAGCACTGGTTTAGTTGGTTTCCCACAATATGGAGTATGTTCCAAGCTCTGGAAGAAATGGCATGAGGCTACCTCTACTCAGGCAACTCTGCTCTACCCAACCTCTCCCAAAAGCCCATCTTCTAGGATAAAAGGCAGAAACACTTCAAGCACAGCTCCACAGCCCTAACAAGATCGTTCAACCCTGCTCACCAGCCAAAGTACCGCCTGCTGTGCTGCACTGAGCTTTGCGATGAGAAGCACTGCTAGGGAAGGCCAAGACAGCACCTGCTTGTCCTACCAGTCCAGCATCTGGCTCCTCACTGCAAGCAGCACAGTCCTGAGCTCAGTGACTGCCAAACGTACCTGATTAGACAGAGCTTGAGTTAACAGGGCCCCCTTCCTCACAGACCTGGGAGCTGAAAAATCTAAGTGGATCTGACAACGCTCTTTCCCAACAGGCTCCTGCTGGGGACAGAGCCTCAAGTTTTCAAGTATGTAACATGTAGCGTTATCTCATAATACTGCCCCACAAGCTTGGCAAAATCTCAGTGTCAGCAGTTACCCTGAGACAAGATTCCCCCTTTATAATTCTGGGAACTGTGTTATTCAGGATTCCCCTTTTCTGCCTTCTCTTGTTCCCTCCTCTGGCTGCCCCAGATGTACACAACACCAGTGACATGCAGAGAGGCACTGCAAGGTAGCAACAGCCTGAGAGTATGCATCCACTGATTTCAATAGCAGACAGTGCTTCAGGAGGCTGGTGTTCATGTTCAGTAAAACCAGCTTAATTTAACACTGAAGAGAGAACAACGCAAACAGGATGCGATGAGAGCTGGGACTGCCCTGGTGGTGACTGGAGAGGTGGCCTTGTAGGGGCTGAGGGCAGAGCAGAGATGTTAGTTGAGAAACGATTAACTGGGTGGCAGATTTATAGCAGTGGAGGTGGGGGAGGCAACCCCAGCCCAAGCTCCCATTGGCTTTGATGGACTCTTGTAGGCCAGGCCAATGAACATTCAGAAGGCTCCAGTATCCCCAGTGCCATTCCCCACTGTGAACAGTCAGGAACAGTACTTGGGCACCTGCACCAGCCTGTGTTCCCGCTGGCTTCACTGGGAGAACATGCTCTGAGCATTCCATGTATTTATCACAGTTTGGCTTTCAGAGATTCTTAAGTCAACATAAATGATTTCAAGTCAACTTGACCCACCTTATAAGAGCAAGTAAGTTGTCAAGAAGCTTCAGGACCTGTTCAGTGCAGGGATTACGGTAGATTGGACTTCCACTGGGCATGTATCCCACCAAGAATCCTCCAGCTTTTGCCTCTTCAGTAGCTGCAGGCCAACGAGCTCGTTTCACAACTCCCAGAATGGTGTACACGCAAAAGCTTATCTGCAGCAAGAGATGTGGAGAGACTGTTTCTTAGCCAGAGCACAACCTGAATAAACAGGTTTTCAGAGAAACCCATCATCATCCCATCCCAAAGGGAATGCTCTACAGTGAGCCTCATCTGGTGATAGGAACAAACTCTGGCGGGTTTGCTGCCAGGAAAATGCAGCAAATGATCATGCTACGTTCTGTCATCTTCAGTGACCCCGGCCATGGCAGGATGGCTTAGGAACTCGCTATTAGACAAAGCATCAATGCATACAGTCTCCCAAGCACACAAGCAATCAGGTAAGCTGCCCTCTAAAAAGAAGGGTCTAGACCATCAGTTCCTCATCTCCATCACGTGCTGGGATGGACGCAGAGATCTGTGATGACACAGTGGTCACACTGCACTAGCCCAAATTCACAAGCACGGCTCTGTGGACTCGCATTTCAGTGTCTTCTACAGACCTAAAGATAGCAACTCCATTTGCAGCCTGTCCAAGGAGTGAAGACATTTCACTGACTCAAACAACACGAATCTCCTCAGATGAATTTTAATTATATCCCATGCTGCAGTCTCAGCATGACACTGTCCATACTGCCTGGCTGAAAAAACACAATTCACTGCACCATACTTCCAAAAACCATGTAAACTAATTGTTTCTCCAAAACCAAGCTCTGCTACAAAAAGAGTAGGGAATAGCATGCTTCGCTCTGCTGAATAATCTGGTTATATGCATATATATAATATATATTATTATAATCTGCTGAATAATTTGCATGGTGTACACGGTCATTACTGTAGCTTAAAGAGGCAAAAGCCAGCCTCTCATTCTGCAATCTGAAAAACCTACTGATCCGTACCCTAAAGAAGTAGATAATCAGGAGAGATCTTGTGTGTAACCACAACAGCAATGGGGGGTGGAAGGAGGCAAGTCCCATCTCGCCGAGGACTA